GCAACAAAAATAGGAGACCAAGTACTCAGAGAGAAACTCTGTAGCACCTTGCAATGCAGAGGCCTGCAGAAAGCAGCTCTTGAGCTCAGAGCACCACAGGTTTTTCCCCTGGAATCAAGTAAATTTTTGTGGAGTTGAATGTTCTACAAGTTATATAATTATATAAGTGCTTAGGAAACTTCTATTTGCTTAATTTTAAGCCTTCTGAGAAGTAGACTACAATACCAAACTTTTAAACATGGTGTTCATTCTTGTCATTAGTTATCCGTAAGTTCTCTGTATCCTGCTCTGAAATATTAAGAAATACTGCAAATCACTTCGAAATCAAATCACCTGGAAGAAGCTGAGATCCAACAATACAGAACTCCATATAGCATAGGGTTAATGAGTAACAAAAAGCAAGGATAACAATGCCTTGACAAGTATTTAGCCCCCAAATTGCTTGACAAAACTAATCATAATGCTTGGTGTTTTTTTCCCCTTCCAACTTATGTGTCAAGGCTTGTTCCTTCAAGCAGGAAAAATACCTTATGAAAAGAACTGCCTTAAGAACTATCAAATAGTAACTTTAACAATGTAGTTAATTTTTCTCATTTCATTTCATGCTAGGTGTATTAATTTTAATCTATCCAGCCTGAATCACCTCTGAAGGAGCTTTTAATATTGACTTTTGCTCTACATTAAACATGCTTCTTGACACAGTGTGCTTGGTCAAACCGTGCTTCTGGGTAGTGCTATATGCTCAATAAGGAAGTTTCTATTTGTATAATTTCTCACTTGTACCTCCACTGAAACACTGGCTACCTGCACAAGAATACCATCCAACTAAAACAAATTAGTAGAACTGCCTTTTTTAAAAAACAACCAAACGCTGTGGTGCTAAGGTGCAATGGCACCAAACATTCAGGACCTTGAGTAAGCCATCAGGAGACACTTTCTAATAGTCCTGTAAGTGTTCTGAAAACACCACTTGATCAAGGCATTGGGCAGAGGTTCATCAACCACCAGGTTCTGACAGCTCAAGCATCAAAGAAAGACATTGGATTTCAAGACAGAGAGATGAACTGTCACCTGAGATGGTGAAGGTTTTACCACACACAGCCCTCAGCCACTGACATCTATCCAGCTCACACCCATCATCAGACTACAGCATAATCACCTTTCTTGCTGTGGTCCCCATTTAAGTATCAGCCAAAATTAAGGATGAAGAAGTTCTCCTGCCACATAGCAAAGGACCCTATCAGACAAACAGAAGATGACTATGGCATTAAGGTGGAATCACACCTAGCTCTGCAGATGGCTGCGCAATCTGGTTCTCTGCTGCTCAGGCACTGCCTGCAAAACCAGAAGAACACATTCCAATCACTTCCAGAGCAATTCAGAACTATTACATAGGCCAGTGGATTCTGATCGAAAGACCCATATTAACCCAGCTGACCTAAGAAAGAAGCCACCACTTCTGACCTGACCTGAACACAAAGCATTTCATTCTGAGAGAAATATTGCCTTTCTCACTCAAAAAACCTCAGTAACTGAATTAGATGTGAGCAACACCTTAGACACACAAAGTCTACCTACATTTTACCCTTAAACTCTTTGAATGAGTCTGGGACCAAAAATCAAGTTCATCTATTGCAGTCAAGTGCCTGTAACCCAACACAACTGATTCTGCCAGGAACTTTAGTCAAACGCAATTTCTTCCTGACAGCAACTGAGGGACAGACATTGGCTCTTATCTCAACTCCTTTGTAGGATTTAACATCACTGCCCCTGAGCTATTTCTGCCTTGCCAGTGAGGAAGGAGAAGTAACCAGTGCATGGAACAGCTCGACTCCTTCCCAGAGGATGATAATGTGGAACCTAGACAAAGCATTGCCCAGAACATTAGAAACTACTGAGAATGACTGGGAATACAGTAACTAGGTAAGGCAAAGGTTGATATAATCTCCATTGCAGATGTCCAACTTCAGCTGATCACACAGAGGAGGGGGAGGCTGCTGGATCATCCCTTGCTGGTACAAGATGCTCTTCACACAGTTGTTGCTCCTGGAGGCTGCTGCCCTTTCCATCTAGCTGACAATCCTAAACTCTGAAGCACTGCAGTAGACTGAGCATGGTATACTAGCTGAAAAAATAAGCTTAAATGCTGTGCTTGAATTTTTAAGAAGTCCCCAACTTTATTACAGCCAGCATGTTGGTAACCTACCATTTAAACAAACATTCAAGGGGACTTGTTTTCTTCTTCAGTTTACCAAATGTTAGAGTTACAGGATTTGCAACTGAAACCAGAGTCTGTTCAAATGTTGAACCAGCTTTAGACAGCAGTAGCTCCTGTCAAGGAGGTGCAGAGAGAGCACTTTCCTCCTTTCAGTTTGTTCAGCTATTCCAACAACCCAGAGAGAAAGGTTGTATTTCCCCCAGATGCCAAAATCTGATGTTACCAGCTCCAAGATTTCCACAGGCACAAATCAAGCATCTGTATTCCTTACCAATAATCATTAACACTTTCTTTATTAAGGTCACTTTAAACACAGGTTTTCCTCAAAATATTTATACTATAGCTTAACTAGAAGCCTTTGTTCTTCTCCTCCAGTTCCTACCCTTAAACCACACTTTAAGTGGAAGACAGTTCCCAAAATCTCATTGCCACAAAGCCAAAAAAAAGCTACATCCTGTAATTGCACATTTCTAATCCTGCTTACCTAACCTTAGTAAACTAAAAATACAAAACAAAATGAAGCTGGATATTTCATCACGTCAAGAAATGCGAGAAATTAAACAGATGCAAGGTGAGCACTACTTCAGAGCAGCATATACTATCAATACATCATTGAAGTCACTCATCAAATAAAGTTTGGGTATTAATCTGATCTCTGAATGACTTCATAAGCCACGTCTAATGCATCTGAAAGCCTAATACAAAGAGAGTCTTGAACATCACTTCTCCCTAGGGACAGAATAAGGGTCCAAGACCACTTTTTCAGTGGCTCAGAAGTCAGAATACAAAACTGAAGATCAGATGCTACAAAAACCCACCCCAGAGAGCTCCTCTTGGAGGAAGGATGAGAGAAACAACACACAAGAGACTTCAGCCATGCTACTTAAAAGGAATATTGCTGCTCTGGAGGGGTGGAGGCACCACCAGACCTCAGCCTCCCACTCTCAAAACAAGTATCACAGGACTGGTGAAAAGAATTTAGAAGAAAGGCACAACAGTTCAAGGACATTAAATACTCAAAAAGACAACACAGTCGCAATACTGAGGTAAGGCAACTGGGAACCTTGCCTAAATCTATGCTTGTTAACACACATCCCCAAATTATTTCACAGGCCGCTTCAGGTTCCTTTCAGGAACAACTGCAAACACACACTCCAGAGAGTTCCCCAACCAAGCAAACATATTTTGATCCGTTATGATTTCTTTGAAAAAAAATGGATGAGTAATTTAAGTGCAGGAAGAGGTCATGAGACCATTCGGATGTGAAGATGACACTGTTACCAACCAACGACTGGAGCGACTTCCTGAATAAGTAATAATGGAGGTGAGTCTAAGAATACACCTATCACACCTACATGAGTAAGCCAGCCAACTCATTACAAAAGGCAAGCCTTGTGCCAAAGCCTTCCCTTCCTCCCAAACAATGAGGCCAAACTGAACGTGACTCAAATCTATTATTCCCCAAGCTACAGGTTATTTTGGTTTTGTGGAACAAAGCTTTTAAACCTTGACCTGGAGAGGCCAAGAGGCACTAAAGGTACATGTTAGTCAAGCAAAGACACCATTCAAAATTTTCTTCAGTTTGACAGAAGCCAAAGGGCATGGAATAAGAGATGCAGGAGACACAACTAAAACAGTTAACTGCTTGGAGAAGCAAGCTGGTGGGGACAATATTTTGCCAGAGACCAAGCAGACATCAAGTGCAGAGAAGTGTGCCTGATACAGCATATCTTCTGCACACTCTAAGGTCTTCCAGTTGCTTGTTTTAAGAAAGAAAAGTGCAACTCCTCCTTCTCCAGTTGTTTTGATAATTTAAGTCTGCTCCCTTCAATTCTTTTCTGCGATAGCTGCGTCAGATTTTTTACTTGCTGTATGTACAAGAGTGGAAATAACAAGCACAAAAGTTTTTTTGTATTAACAGGAAGGCTGAGAGAGGAATTGAAAGCATTTATCTGCCTTCACTCATTACGTGTTGCTGCAGCCCTTTGAAGGCTGCCTTCTGAAATTTTGGAGAGGAAGAAAACGGGAGTAGAAAAAATAATCATGTAAAACAGCCCTGAAACCCATGAAGTTCTGAGGGAAACACAGCCTTTATCCTGAATTAGCCATCGATGAGTGAAACTATCGAGGGATGGCTGGAAAGTCCCTTCCTTTGAAATAAATATCATCATAGAACTACAGAATGGTTTGGCTTGGAAGGAACCTTAAAGATCACTCAGTTCCAACCCCTTGCCATAGGCAGGGACACTTTCCACTAGACCAAGTTGCTCAGATCCCCATTGAACCTGGCCTTGAACACTTCCAGAGATAGGCCATCCACAACTTCTCTGGGCAACCTGTGCCAAGGCCTCCCCATCCTCAGAGCAAAGAATTTCTTCCTAACTCTCCTTCAGTTTGAAGCCATTACACATTGTCCTATCACTCCATGCTCTTTTTAATAGTCTTGCTCCATCCTTCCTGTGTTCCCATTGGATCCTGTAAGGATATGGGAACACGGAACAGATGATCTCCAGAGGTCCCTTCCAACCGCCACAGCCCTGTGATTCTGTGACATACACAGAGAGCAGAGCCACGGGGGCACCCTGGGGCGCGAGGGGCGAACTCTCGCCCTTCCCTGAGGTCCTGCAGGAGGCTCTTCGGGGCCAAAAGAGCAGATTCCCAGCGCGGCAGCGGCCGAGGCGCGGCCCCCCGCCTTGCCCAGGCCGAGCCCGAGCCCCCTCCCGCAGGCCCGGCCCCGGCCCGGCCCCACCGCGCGGCACGGGGGGCGGGGGGAAGGCCCTACCTTGAAGTACCCGCCCTCGTACAGCGTGTTGGGGGGCCCGAAGATCGCCACCTCCCAGTTGTAGAGGTCGGACTCGTCGACCAGGGTGATGCGGAAGCCCTCGACCGGCTCCTCCTGCAGCGACTTCAGCTCCAGCATCAGCGCCTTCTGCGAGCTGCTCATCTGCTGCTGGGCCATGGCGCGGCGCGGCCCCCGCCGCGGCCGCCCCGCGGGTGCCGGTGCCGGTGCCGCTTGTTCCCGGTGCTCCCGGTGCTCCCGGAGGTGCCGGAGCCGCCCCCGCCCCTCCCCGCGCTGACGGACCCGCCGCCGCCACTTCCTTTTGTGACGGCGCCGCTCGCGCTGACCTCAGCGCGCCGCGCCGGACACGCCCCCGCCGCGCGCGGGACACGCCCCCGCCGCCCCGTTGGACACGCCCCCCCCCCACACCGCCGCCGCGCGCGCCGCGCGCGGCACGCCCCTCCCTCTTCGGCCCCCCCCCACCTTTCGCCGCGTGCGCTTAAAGGGGCCGCGACACCCCCCCAGCACCAGCAGAGGAGAGGGCGGTCACCAGGGAGGGGGTGTCACAGAATCACAGAGGCACTTAGGTTGGAAAAGACGTCCGAGATCATCCAGTCCAACACGTGACCGATCCACCACCACTGAGTGCCATGTCCAGGCTTTCCTTGGACACCCTCCAGGGACGGTGACTGCACCACCTGCCCGGGCAGGGCAGCCCCTTCCAGAGTCTGATCACCCTCTCTGTGGAGAAGTTTCTCCCGATGGAACCTAAGCCTCCCCTGGCGCAGCTCTAGGCTATAAAAAAAAGACATTAAGCTGTCAGAGAGCGTCCACAGAGATGGTGAAGGGTCTGGAGGGGAAGCCGTGCGGGGAGCGGCTGAGGGCACTTGGTATGTTCGCCCTGGAGGACACTGAGAGGAGACCTCATTGCAGTTACAACTTCCTTGTGAGGGGAAGAGGAGGGGCAGGTACAGGTCCCTTCACTGTTGTAACCAGTGACAGAACCCGAGGAAATGGCATGAAGCTGAGTCAGGGGAGGTTTAAGCTGGATATCAGGAAAAAGTGTTTCACCCAGAGGGTGGCTGGGCACTGGAACAGGCTCCCCAGGGAAGTGGTCACAGCACCAATCCTGACAGAGTTCGGGAAGTGTTTGGACAATGCTCTCAGGCACTTGGTGGGATTCTTGGGGTGTTCTGTGCAGGGCCAGGAGTTGGACACACTGATCCTGATGGTTCCCTTCCAACTCAGCATATTCTATGATTCAATGAGTTTATGTCCTCTCATCCTGTCACTGGTTGCCTGGGAGAAGAGCTCACCCCCCACCTGGCTACAACCTCCTTTCAGGTCATAGAGAGCAATAGGTCATAGGAGGCCCTGGAGCCTCCTCCAGACTAAACACTCCCAGCTCCCACAGCCACTCCTCATAGGACATGCACTCCAGACCTTTCACCAACATCTTCACTGCCCTTCTCTGGACCCACTCCAGCACCTCAATGTCCTTATGAATGGAGGAGCCCAGAACTGGGCACAGCACTTGAGGTGTGGCCTCACCAGTGCCCAGTACAGGGGAAGAATCATTTCTCTGGTCCTGCTGCCACACTATTGCTGATACAACCTTCTTGTCCAACTGGACACACTGCTGACTTATGTTGACCAGCACCCCCAGGTCCTTTCCCACTGGGTATCTTTCCAGTCCCACCACCCCCAGCCTGGAGCACTGCAGGCAGTTGTTGTGATCCAAGTGCAGGACCCGTCACTTGGCCTTGTTGAACTTCATATGGTTTGTCTTGGCCCATCAATCCAGTTCAGATAGTCACAGGTTGGGGGTGAGTACAGCGGGGTGTGGTTGGCCCACCGACAGGCACCCAGGATCATAAACCAGCCGTTTTTGTACAGAGAATGGTTTTTGAGGAGTGAATTTGTATGACCAAGGGTCCCCTAAAAATCCTGCAGCATCCCCCCAGGAGCAATAGGACACCAACAGGCAGCTAGCAGCCCCCCACAAAGCATGTGTTGTTTTCACATTCTCCGTGGACATGCAACATGGTCACACCAGAACATGCCGTTTTGAGCCTTCCTCCCATTCCCCAGCTGGGTTAAGGGTGAAAAATGATTGCAAAGATGTTGAGGTATATCAACCAGTGAACATGAGCCAGCACCTGTTCCTTAGCAAGTCTTTAACGAATAACATAAATAATATTCATTGTAAAAATAAAGAAAGAAAAATAACAGTGATTGTCCAGGAGGAGGACAACCCATTTGTGCTTGGCATTTCTTTCATCCTTCTGCACATGGCAGGGCTTAGGCCACCACACAGAGGCACCTGCTCCTTGGACAAACAGGTTGGATGATGTGTCCCAACATCCCTATAGCATTACATAGATTTAACCTCCTTCCTTGCCCCCATCACCTCTCACTTCTCTCATGCTTTCCCATCCTGATGACAACCCTGTGGGCAAGGATGACCGTTGGATCAATCTCCTGCATTTTTCAGAGCTATGGACTTCCCCAAAGTCATGGGACTGACAGTGAGGGCCACTTGCATTGGTGAGAGATCATGCAGCTGGGCCAGTTTGGAAGTCTATACTTGGCACTTGGCAGCCATGACTCTGGTTCCTTCTCTGTACCTTGGCCCAGAGTGGAGAGCAGGAGGCAGATGTTTTTCCCGAAGTACCAGCTGCTACCAGGACAAATTTGCTGTTGCCCAATGACAAGCACGGCATCCTCCCCTTGTTCCTGTGGCTGCTCTTCTTGTCTTTCTCCTGCCTCTTGAGCTTTACCCCATTCCTCTCTTCAAAGATGCTCCAGCACTGGCAGTGGTACCTGGTCCCAGGCTTGTGACTGCCTCCAGGCTGTAAAGTACTCCAGCCCTTGTAAAATCCTTTCTCACTCTGGAAAATATTCCTATGGGGACTGGCATTGCTTTTCTCATGAGCTGAGACAAGCTCTTGCTCAGTGTCATAGGGGTAATATGGATAAACATCCCTTGTCCATTCACAGCTTGCCTGGCTATGCTGAAAAAAAATGTGTGTTCTCCTACATCTGCCTCTCTGCAGGCAAAGGTCAGCCACTGTTTCTCATTCTTTACCACCTTGGAGTGAGCTCAGATTTACAGAAAGCTGCTTAATTCAGCTCTCGCATCCTCAGATGGAGGCTGGAGGGCTAGGACATGAAAAAATGTTTGTCAGAGTAGCTCCTTGGTGGCTGGGAAATACCATGCTCGGTGTGTTTTCTGGTGGAAGTTCAGTCCCATGTTCTTTTTATTTATGGCAATAGAATAGAATAGGAAAGAATGGACCATTTCCGTTGAAAGAGACCTACAGCTGCCTGACCAATTCATAGAATAGAATCATAGAATCAGCCAGGTTAGAAAGGAGCTCTGAGATCATCAAGTCCTTGATCCACTACTGCCATGGTTACTAGACCATGGCACTGATGCCACATCCAGTCTCATCTTAAAAACCTCCAGGGATGGAGAATCCACCACCTCCCTGGGCAGCCCATTCCAGTGCCTGATTACCCTCTCTGTAAA